TTGACTGTAGTTCATAGTTACATGACGTGAAGATTCAACCAGGGAGATAACAAAGGTTATGAAAGTTCTTCTAATACCATGTATTTCTTTATCATGATCCAATGTTAAGTGTTGATCATTTGATTTAGGGCTTTAAAAAGTTGGATTGTTGTAATTCCAATACTCGAAGTGAAGGCAAGAGGATCAAGAGTTGAAAGTCTTTTTTGGCTATGTATCAGTTTGAAGGCCATCCCTGGGCTATATGAGACCCTGTCTCAAAACAAAATAAAACAAAAACAAAAGAATTATAATATTTATACTGGAGTCCTAAGCGTCTGTTAGGGTAGGCATCTTTTAGGTTATATAGGAGACTGCCTAAATGCGCTGAGGCAGTGGCAGGTAGATTTCTGTGAGTTTGAGGCCAGTCTGGTCTACACCGTGCATTCAAGGAGAGCCATGGCTACACAGTGAGACTCTGTCCCCTCACTCTTTTCTCCCAATCTAAATGAGATATTTAATGCCTAAGGCCATGATACCAGTAACATGGTATTCAACTGCCTTTCCATTCATTGCTTTTCTATTTGTCTATATGCATGAAAGTAGAAACACATGACTGTTTTTGTCTTCTTTTACGTTGTCTTTTAATGTACCAAAAAGGTTACGTATAGAAGCAGTGGTGGCATGAAAATGTTTGGTTTTCCTGTGAACACGTAATACTCTTTTCTCTCTTCCAGGGACTCTGAGATCATGCAACAAAAGCAGAAGATAGCCAATGAGAAGAAGTCCATGCAGACAAGAGAAAAATGATGACTGGCTTTTTGGCAGACCTGGGTGCTATTGCCAGTGGGATGCATCATAAGCTCTAAGATCAAAATTCCTCAGAGTGACTAATCATTACCTGTATTATTACTTATCCTTATAAAACTGTCTGTTTTAAACCTTACTTTTCACCCTTACTTAGGTTTGAAGACCATTCTCAAAGAATAAAACACTGACCATGCATGTAACATATTGGTGAATATTACTTTTATCAGTAGAGAACATTTATGTAATTTATTAAACAGGCAATGTATTAGTTACACTTGCATTGCTAGGACCACAGTGCCTGACAAGGGGAAGGAAGTAGAGGCAGAACAGATTGGCTCATGGTCTCAGGATTTCTCTCCTTCATAGAAAGGAGAGCAGAGCAGAGCAGCTCAGTTCATGGTAGGAGGAGCACATAGCAGAGGAGTCCAAGCCTGGACAGGAACCTGGCTAACATTCAAAGTCCTGTCCTTAACGACCTCGTCCCTCCACTAGGCCTCATCCCCTAAAGGTTCCATAGCCTCCCCAAATAGAACCACCAGGTGGGGAATAAGCATTCAAACTATGAGCTCTGGGAGATACTTCAGAGGTGAGCAACAATGGGTCATGTGATTCAGGAGTAGGATCTTTTATATAAATCTAGAATATATTTTCAATATTCACTATACTTTTATTATTTTTTTATTTATGTGTATTGATGTTTTTCTACATGAGGATGTCAGGTAGCCTGGAACTGGAGTTAGAGACAGCTGTGAGCTGCCATGTTGGTGTTGGGAATTGAACCTGGGTCCTCTGGAAGAGCAGACAGTGCTCCTCACTGCTGAGCCATCTCTCCAGCCCTATAAATCTAGAATCTTGGGTATACACTTTGTTTTTGTTATTTTCTGAAACAATTTCATTCTGTAGCCCACGCTAGTCTTACATACATAGCAGTCCTCCTGCCTTGGCCTTCTGAGTCCTGGGATTGTGTGGCCACAGTGATAGCCTAACATAGATCTTCAAGTTTTTGTCTGTTAAAAATTTTCTTAAATGTTTAAATCCTTATTTAGTATTTGTATGCATAGAATGGAGACTTTTCTCCCACTCACCCATCTTCCACTGGACTGGTTTCTCTCTGCCCACCTGTTTCCGAGTAACACCACTCAGAGGCTTAGTATCAGTTACAATTGTTTGGCCAATGGCTTAGGCTTCCTACTGGCTAGCTCTAACTATCAATTAACCCATTTCTACTAGTTTATACTTTACGTCATAGCTTGTTTCCCTGGCAGCTACATGGTATCTTCCCTACTCTGTCTTCCTTCTCTCTGTCTCTTTGGAATTCCTGCCTAGCTTTAATCTGCCTGTCCATTGTCCAAAAACCCTTTATTCATCAGGCAATAAAAGTAACACAATAAACAGAAGGACCTCCCATATCGGCCACAATGCTAGCCTAAAGTGGATCTTTAAGTTTTTGTCTATTATAAATTCTCTTACATTTTGAGTATCTATTTAGCATGTATATGTGTGGTACAGAGGCACGTAGAGATGAGAGAACAACGTAGGGGAGCCATTTCTCACCGTCCACCATGGAGCTCTAAGGGAATTTAACTCAGCTCAGTGGCAAGTTCCTTAATCAGCTAGGCCATCTGATAGCCCCCATGCAACTTTTGTGTTGTATTTTGTTGTTTTAGTTTGGTTTCAATAACCAAGACATTTTACAATCCCACCATGAATGTGTGAAAGTTTCACTGCTCTCCACGTCCACCACTTCCTCTTTGGGGGGCTGATACCCCAAAGAACAAACTGCACAAGCATGTAGTACTTGGGACAAGCATGGAGATGGATTTTCTGACGCTGGCCCTTTCTGGAGACATTGGTGGTAGTATATTACTCTTGTTTAAACATCATGTTTTTAGTCTTCTAAAATTTCTACCTTTTGGCTATGATATTTTCAAGTCCTTATGATATAAGGATCCCAACTCCTATTACAGGGGAACCAAAGCCTCCTCTCCAGCCAATTGATAAAGGGGGATTTATGGTCCTTCTTGGGCAGGGGCTATGTCCCTCATTAGCATAGAATTTGTAGAAGACTGACCATCTTTCAGCTCCTTAGAAAGAGGCCTGGGGATTGTGACAGGACACTAGGGTATCTTTCCCAGATAGTTTGCCCACTTGCACAGCTGGGATCAATCTTTCTTAACAAATGATGTCTATTGCCATCATTATTGGTGTCCTTACTCCAATTTTTTTATTCTGGGACACAACAGCCCAGAAATCTCATTGGGCACTACTGGGTTGCCCTGTTGGCTATGCCCTATTCTAAGTTGCTCCATATTATATAAAACATGGTTTTTATTGCCAGGCTGTCCCCTGTCCTAGGAGGCTCCATTTTACTTTGAGACAGGGTCTCACTGTGGACCTCTGACTGGCCGAGGACTTCCTATATGTAGACCAGGCTGGCCCTCAACTCATACCCGCTTGCCTCTGGAAACTCCATTCTGCAAGTAGTTTCTGACTCCATTAGGGGGAGGTTGACCGCAGCAGCCTCTAGGTACACCATGCACCATCTGTCGGGAACCATCCAGTACAGACTGGTAAGTGACTTATTCCTGAGAGTCGAAAATGTAAATTTGATGGGAGTCAATCTGTAAATTTTCTGGGATGAATCAAAACTATGGGGGCAGCGGGCAGTGGTGGTGCACGCCTTTAATCCTAGCACTTGGGAGCCAGAACTAGGCATATCTCTGTGAGTTCAAGGCCACCCTGGTCTACAAGAGTTAGTTCCAGGACAGGCTCTAAAGCTACAGAGAAACCCTGTCTCAAAAGGAAGGAAGGGGAAGGGAGAGAGAGACAGAGAGAG